TTAAGAGCATGTGGCTTGGAATAGTTTGGAAGACAGGCACATGCTCGAATAAGGGTCCACTTCTCTTTTACCAGCAATATAATCTGCATTTTTTTGTCAGTTTTCCTCAGTTTTCCTGTATCAGGTTATATACATTGCACAGATGTGCGCCTTCACAGAGAATTTAAGGGCATCCCCAAAGCATTTTAAAGGAATTAAGGATTTTAAATGTTGCCCTTTAAGCATTATTAAATGTGCTTCCCACCAAACAGATATTGTTTAAATTTTTTTGTTTGCGTCATGCTCTCCAGGGTAGTGCTCAGCCTTCTCCATACCATTTGTCTCACAATCCCTTGCCTATTAGCCTAAGAAAATGGCCATTGCTGTTTTCAGTTCATTCAACTCCTATTGATTTCAATGGGGATCGAATTCAACACACCAAAGTCCAGAAATGTTCTGGAAACCTGCACTGAACCAAACACAGGTACATTCAGCTCATCACTAATTCCAAATGCTGTTTAGAATATGTCAATGTCATCCACATTTACATTATCCTAAGGCTCATATTGGGCATGGTTCCTATCCCAAGTGCAATTTTGCTAGCATTTTAAGGCTTTAACAATGTGTTTTACTTGTTTACGTCTTGACAGTATCAATTTTGAGCCATTGTGGTTTATTCAAGGTTTATTTTCATTTTGCACATCTGATTCACAGTTTTTCCTTGTTAATAAAAATCTAAAGAAGCTATTTAAACACTTCAGGGTTTAGAACATTACAGATACTTAGTAAAAACGTCAGTAATGCTTTTTGGATGCATCTCTAGCATTCAGTTGCTGTCCTGCTGCCAAACAACAGAAAAAATGTAAAAATGCAGCCACTCCTGTGTAAAATGACAATTGTAGAAAGTCTATAAGTGTCATTGAGTAAATACAGTGAATAAGTGTATTACTTAATTGTATTTATTCATTCATGTATACGTAGATCAAAGGGGTATACAATATTTAAAATAACCTTACAAGTTAATTTTGTTTTAATGAACTGTAATCATATTTAATCCCTTATTAAAGGAGAAGTTTATTATGGCTTTTTGGCAATGCTTCTCCTACAGTTCCTTCTGCACTCCTGTGACCCTGTGGCTAAAGCCTACTGGGGGCTGACGTCACAAAGTCGGTGCAGGCTCTGGTCTCAGTGGTCTTGTATGTCTTCCATTTTCTAATTATTGCTCCCACAGTTGATTTGTTCATACCAAGCTGCTTGCCTATTGAAGATTCAGTCTTCCCAGCCTGGTGCAGGTCTACAATTTTGTTTCTGGTGTCCTTCGACAGCTCTTTGGTCTTCACCATAGTGGAGTTTGACTGTTTGAGGTTGTGGACAGGTGTCTTTTATACTGATAACAAGTTCAAACATGTGCCATTGATACAGGTAATGAGTGCAGGACAGAGGAGCCTCTTAAAGAAGAAGGTACAGGTCTGTGAGAGCCAGAAATCTTGCTTGTTTGTAGGTGACCAAATACTTATTTTCCACCATAATTTGCAAATAAATTCTTTCCAAATCAGCCAATGTGATTGTCTGGATTTTTTTTTCTCATTTTGTCTCTCATAGTTGAGGTCTACCTATGATGCCAATTACAGGCCTCTCTCATCTTTTTAAGTGGGAGAACTTGCACAATTGGTGGCTGACTAAATACTTTTTTGCCCCACTGTATATATGTAAAACGCTTATCCCAAAAAGAAAAAAACTGTGGTGTAACTGCTTGAAAAGTGTTAGCTAGAGTTTGACTTTAATTTGTTAGTGTATCTACCCTTCCCCAAGAATGACAATGCTGCATTCCAAGAATGACAATGCTCTAATACAGGAGGTGTTACTAGCCAGTGATTGGTAGACTGTAGTATATATTACATTTTTAGTTTTGAGTTTAATACCGCTTGTTACCACTAAGTGATGGCAAAGTTACTGCCATATACACCTAGATAGGGTTGCCCAGTAAAGGCATTAGGAGAGGTTGTGCTTTATAACACAGCACATTACTTCAATTGCTTAATTTTCGTAGTGTATTTCTCCTACTGTTTAACCATTACAGTATAGTTCTATTATCACTGATGTATTACAGTATATTTCTTCTTTTGTTTACCTTGAAATATACTATTTGCTATTGTAACACCCTGCACTGACACTGATTGCAGGATGTTAACTAACCACAAGATGGCAGTGTTCTGTGGTCTAGTTATTCAGACTTTATTGAAGCTAAGCAAAGCCTTGTTGAACTTGTATGCTGATAGCAGGGCTTCTGCATGTAGACAAAGAGTGAACAGACTACATTTCCCAGAAGAGCTGCCAAAAGGGGCTGGAGCATATATATTAACTAACCTGGGAACTTTCAAGGAAGGAAGTAGATGGTGAGAGGCTGTGGACATGAGTGTGGAGCAGGCAGTGCGGGACTCAGGGTACCCAGGCTGGATCGGGCAGCATCACAGAGAAGGAAAGAGGGACTGCAGACCATTAGTAATGCTGACGAGCAGGACAGTCAATCCTGCAGGCAGGCGAATCTTAGTGCTATCATTGGCATCACTTTTTTGACAGAGGGATCAAGAGAAAACCGGAGTCCCCCAGCAGTGAGACCACCGTTCATGCTGCAAACACTACAAACCAGGTGAGAGGGTTCCATAACCCAGATCATCACAAGTTGCAAATGACTGTGCTATTTTCAACTGTTCAGTTCAGTACACCTGACACTACAGTTTATCACATTGGAACACAGACTGCCTGGCCCATTCTGTACTGCGGCCTACTACTTTAGTGTCTCCCTATTATTCTGAAAAAGCAGGACTTCTGTTAAAGCACGTACCCCTGCTGGCAGGATTACACTTAGTATCTTATTTCAAGCCTCCTCCAGCAAGAAACTTGCTTAACCAGACTAACTCACCACCTCTAAGGGTTCAAACTCTTCTGGAGACTGCTTCCATCCCTTTCTTCAACCTTAACACATTTTTGCATTAATTTGTTAAAAAGACATTATCCAGTTTTCAACACCACCCTAAGGAAAGTTGTTCTGTTGCTGCACCATCCTATGGAAGTTTTTCTCTTTCACAAAGAAGGAATTTAAACTTGCTGTGTACCAACTAGGGCCCCATCAAGCGTGTAAAAGATGTAAAGATTTGTCACCATTCCTTGATGAGATACTAAAGTGAACATCATTGCTTATAAAAGTTCATATCAAGAGTTAAACCCAGTTCCGGGCTAATAAGAACCCAAAAGTCAACTAGTCCAGCATCTTGATAGTCCACTTAAACTCACTTGTGAAAAGATATCTCAGAGATGGAATTTAAATGATGTTGAAACTCTGATCCAGCAGGTCACTTGGGCTTATTTAAAGTGCTACTGGGCTTTATTATTCTGTTAAACCTTTTAGAGTGTTTAATTTGCCGCACATCTACTGTCATTTCTTTTGTGCTTACATTCACAATACCCTGACCTCAATACAATTAGAATGTTTGTCCACCTTAAACTGTGTGTTTATTTTGTAGTTCAACGCCTGGGGGTCCTCCAGGTCAAGGTTTCGGGGGCTGTACTTCCAAAACAGGCTTAGAACAGACAGGGAACCCAAAAATACTCTTAGCTCTTAGGAGGGTAGCACTACACTATCACTTAACCAATTGCTGTGCCATTCCTGGTGTCTATGTGCCTTGAGCCTTTGGGGTGTATATACAGATATCTGCAGTAAACATTCCCTGCTCAGCCAGGTGTGTCAGTGTGTGGGGGGCTCTTCGCAGACTCATGGACACAGGAACAGATCACACAGCACATCAAGGGGCTCCTTTAGGTGTCCTTGGACCTCTTCCCATGGCTTCAAGTGCCATCTCTATGCTGATGACACACAATCACCCCTTCAGTCTCTTCTCGCATTACTAACCTACGAAGTGACATATCTGCATGGATGTCACTCCACTTCCTCAAACTAAATCTTTATAAAATGGAGCTCATAGTATTCCCTCCAGCCCATGCCCCTTCCCTGACTTCTCCATCAAGATCAATAATACAATCATCTGCCCCCCCCCCCCCCCTTCCCTCTTGCCAGGGTACTAGGTGTAATCCTGGAATCCCATCTGTCCTTTCAGCCCCAAATCTGATCACTGTCCAAATCTTGTAGATTTCACTTATGCAACATCTCCAAGATATGCCCGTTCTTAACCACTAAAACCATTAAGCAACTTATTCACTCCCTTGTTATCTCTCGCCTTGACTATTGTAACTCCCTCCTCATAGGCCTACCTTGGCTATCCCCTCTTCAGTCTATCATGAATGCTGCTGCCAAACTCATCCACCTTACCAACTGTTCCATATGTGCCATCCCTTTCTGCCAATCCACTGGCTTCCCATTGCCCAATAAATAAAATTCAAAACAATAACATATAAAGCAATTTATAACTCTGCCCCAAGTTACATCACCAATCCTGTCTCCAAACCTCACCCAAACTGTCCTTTCCGCTCCTCCCACAATCTCCTGCTCTCTAGCTCCCTTGTCTCCTCCTCCATGCTCATCTACAGGACTTCTCCAGAGACTCCCCCATCCTCTGGAACTCTATACCCCAATCTATTCAACTATCGCCTACTCTGCCCACTTTTAGGTGATCCTTGAAAACCTATCTCTTCAGGGAACCCTATCCTGCCTTTAGCTAATAACCAAATCTTCTATTTATCCTATCAGTTAATCCCCCACAGGTATTACCTTTTGTACCACCAGCCCCTCCCTCTTAGATTGTAAACTCCAAGGAGCAGGGCTGTCCTAACCCTCTTGTATTCAACTGTATTGTTGCTGTATTGTCTCCCTTTATATTGTAAAGCGCTGAGCAAACTGTTGGTGCTATATAAATCCTGTGTAATAATAATAATATTAATAATAAATGTTGCAGCATACTTGAAAAGTAGCTGTCCAAGTAGTATCCAAATTGCATTGGTCAGTATCAAGCCTCTGCTGTTATTTGTGGCTACATGTGCATTTTTATTTACATTTTCTCTCTTACCTTGCCAAGCAGTTTTCCTCTGCTGCACACCGAAGGCTGTACATGGGTACTCTCTGTATATAGGTGGCACTCTGGATAAACAGAGCATCAGGAACCAAATCAGGAAGACCTGCAAATTAAAGTTGGAAAATAGACCACAACTGGATTGTAACAATTCTGATATATCAGATGCAAAACCAGAAGAAAACAGATAACTGACTGACATATAAGTATTAATATGATTATTGTCAATAACTTCAGTGAGCAGTGCTTTTATTACAAATAGGGAGTGTGCCTCCTCTGGCACCTTAGTAACATAATTGACTTAATTGTAATGTCATTGTGCTGGCTGCAATTAAAAGTTGTCATGCACAAGCATAAGGATCTCTCACACATATTTTTGTCAAGTACTTCACATGCCACTCAAGGTGAGATCAGGCTTCACACTCCAAGGTCATATCTCAGGTGCTGGCTCGGCTTGTCTCATCTCCACTGAAGCAAACAATTGTACCAGCAATAGGAGTACTGCACAAAGAGATGCAATATAATATTCTTCCTTTATTAAAATAGTCGTCAGGAACATGTTAAATTCTGACATGTTTTGCACTAGGCATAGCACATTATCAAAGGGAAAACACAGTGCCTAGTACAAAACATGTCAGAATAGAGTTTTTCCTGCTGGCTATTTTATTAAGGGCAGAATGTTATTAGCTTCTCAATGTGCGGTTTTCCAGTTGCCCGCGCTTATTTTGCTGCTGTAAAATCATCTGATATCTTAGCTTGACCATACTTGTACAGTAGTAGTAGTAGTAGTAGTAGTAGTTGCAGCTTGCTTGCCTCCCGCTATAGGTTAAAATTATGCACATTGTACCCGTAGCACCTACTGCATTTTCACAATTATTTAAAATAATTTTTTCTTTCCCCTGTAGCTTAGATTTATTGTTCCCATTCTGAGAGCTGATCAGCTCTGGACAACTGGACTCCTAATGCACTCCTTTTAGGATTCACAAAATCTTACAAGTAGCTGTCTTATGAGTAGTTGTTTTGTCAAGAACAGTGCAAAACATCTTCATCTACACTGCTCAAAAAAGTAAAGGAACAACAACTCAAAATGGTACTCAGTAGTTTGTATGGCCCCCATGTGCTTGTATGCATGCCTAACAATGTCGGGGCGTGCTCCTAATGAGACGACGAATGGGGTATTTCCTCCCTGGACCAGATCTGGACCAGGGCATGGACCGAAAACTGAGCTCCTGGACAGTCCAAGGTGCAACCTGGCGGCGTCAGATGGACCGAAACATTTGGGGACATTCACTGGTATATATTATTTTTACTATCAATTCCTCTCCAGAAACTGCCTGCATACTCTTGCCGGGCATTGTCGTGCACCAGGAGGAACCCAGGACCCACTGCACCAGCGTAGGGTCTGACAATGGGTCCAAGGATTTCATCCCGATACCTAATGGCAGTCAGGGTGCCATTGTCTAGCCTGTAGAGGTCTGTGTGTCCCTCCATGGATATGCCTCCCCAGACCATCACTGACCCACCACCAAAACAGTCATGCTGAACGATGTTACAGGCAGCATAACATTGTCTATGGCTTCTCCAGACCCTTTCACAGGGTGAACCTGCTCTCATCTGTGAAAAGCACAGGGCGCCAGTGGCAGACCTGCTATTTCTGGTGTTCAATGGCAAATGCCAATCAAACTCTATGGTGTCAGGCAGTGAGCACAGAGCCCACTAGAGGACGTCAGGCCCTCAGGCCACCCTCATGAAGTCTATTTCTGATTGTTTGGTCAGAGACATTCACACCAGTGGCCTGGTGGAGATCATTTTGTAGGGCTCTGGCAGGGCTCATCCTGTTCCTCCTTACACGAAGAAGCAGATGCCGGTCCTGCTGATGGGTTAAGGATCTTCTATGGCCCTGTCCAGCTCTCCTAGAGTAACTGCCTGTCTCCTGGAATGAAAAGTTGGGAAAAAAATGACAGTGGCCTCCACCTGTAAAACCATTCCTATTTTGGGGATCATCCCATTGTTGCCCATATAGTGCACCTGTTGTTAATCTCATTAACACCAAAGCAACTGAAACTAATTAACAACCCTCTCTACTACTTAACTGACCAGATCAATATCCCAGGAGTTTAATTGACTTGATGCTATACTCTGATTAAAAAGTGTTCCTTTAATTTTTTTGAGCAGTGTATGAATATATCCTAGGCAGATACTTTGCATTGTGTTTGGTAAAGCAGAGAAAGTCTGATGTGGATGGAGCTCAAGTGGCTACTCATGCCTGAAAAATCAGGGACCGCAACAACCAAAGTTGCATTAGAGTAAATGTGTTCCTAATTACTTATAGGATTATAAGGACAGATATAGTACATAACAACCAGAGCTGTTTCTATAATGGTTTCTAGTTGTCAACCATAATAGTTTACACAGAGGTGTAACTAGAACCTTTAGGCCATGACCCTTCCCTCCGTGGCCCTTCCCTCCATGGCCCTTCCAACCTATCCTTTATTGTCATTGTGGGGCCTTTTATTACAGTCCCACATGTTCTGCAGCAGGCCTTTCTTGCTGTTTTAGTTTCCCCCACAGTAGCTGAACACCAGGGCCCATTTGTAAGTGTGATCTTTGTGACCTTGGTAGTCCTGCCAGTGGGTGTCAGTAGTTTTTATTTTTGTTATTTTTTATTATTCTATTATTTCTTCCTTTTTTTTTTTTTACAGTTTTATTTTTTACTATTTTTATAGTTTTTTAGGAGTCCATTTGGGGGGCTTTGGTGAAATATCAGGGGTCTAAACAGACCTCTGATGTTTCACCTTTGAGACAGAAAATAGAGATTGAGGACACAGCCCTACATCTACATCTCTGCTGCCTCAGCTACACCGTATGGATGGACAGAAATAGCTTTGTACATAGCTTCTCGTTTATTTACAAACTGAAGCATAATAAACACAGTTTACTATGCCTCAGTTATGAATGAATGATCATTGACCTTGGTCATTTAGAAAAAAGGGGGTCAGTAAATGACAAATTTACAGGCCCTTTTCTTCTGCAGCAGCCAGGTGGAGGGGGGAGGGAGATAGTGCTGTGGGGGATGAGGGGGACAGAAGACAGCACACAGGTGCTTGTAGCAGCAGGACCTGGATAGGATGGGTGGTGGGGACAACAGGAGAGCCTGGCTTTCAGTGGCTGCAGGAGGAAAATACCTGTATATGCCCCCACCCCCCTCCTATTCAGGTGTTCAGGGGAGCTGCATGGGCTCCCTGGAGCATGGGTCGGGTCGCAATTGCGACCGCTGTAATTACACTCCTGATTTTAAGCTATATTTTTAAATATGAATGTACAGTATAGCTGAACAGTAACATAAAATACAAATTGAAAAACAATAAAAAAATGCAGCAAAATCAGATATACCTAAATATACTTTGTCATTTTCCTTAAACCTTGCTGTCCTTTTTGTTTATTTATTTACATTTAACTGTAGCAGGAGAGACTAGGAAAGGTTTAATGCCTCTTTCTGCTTTTGATTGCTGTCTGAATCCCTTTGGGCCTTGTTTACATTTGCCAGGGAGCACTAAAAAGTTGAGCCAGGTTTTATTTCACCCTGACCAGCCACATTAATCTAACATGGTGGTCAGAGGGGGTGTAGCACATTTATACTACAGGTCACATTTAGAGGTCATTCAAGTGAATGCTGCAACCCCTCTGCAACCACGTGTAGTGCACACAGTTGTGCCTCTTGCTCCAAGTTTTCAAGGGCTAAAAGTGGTGGTAAAGAGACGACATATTGTCTCCTAGCTGCCTGTCAAATGCACTCTTAAAAGTGATCCACCACAAATAGCTTTTCAGATGGGCAGCAATGACAGCAACAATTGTAAACAACATTTTAAGGAGATTGTCCAATGGGGACATAAGTGAAACCAAAAACACATTTTTAGCAGAATGAGCAATGGACCATCTGTGACAAAATGAATGCTGTAAAAGGCAATAGGATTGATTTACAAAAGGAACATAGGCTGTTCATATTACAAAGGGAAGTTGCACTTTGCATGGTAATTTTCTCCTGAGCTTATTGAATGCAGTGAACATCAAAGAATAACCAATCATGTGCAAGGAAAATATAATATAGTATTCTTGCTTGCAAGTGATTGGATGGCGGATGTCAGCAGAGCTTGCAAACTGAACAGCATATTTGCCTTTAGTAAATAAACCCTTATGAATCCACTATTAGATGGTAGTAATAGAGTCACTATTATAGAGCTGCTTGATCTGTTTCGCACTGGTCCCTCAAAAAAGTGGAAGTTCTCTTTTTTCATGAAAATGCTGAACACAAATTAAGTGGCATAAAAAATCTAGAGCTGACCATAGATGGTGCAGGAAATAAAATTGCTCGATTCCCCCATCAACATAGTCAGTGTTGATGGGGGAATCTCTCCCATGGAGCCATTGTGTTCTCCTAGCGGGGAGCCGTCCTCACAGGGAGAACACAGTGATTATTGCTAGTGGCTAAAATAGCCACTATCGATAATCGCATGTAAAACCCAACAGGCTGGTAGTACCCTAGTACCCAAGATGATTGAACGAAGGTTGATTGAAGGGTGTACATTCGGTCTGCTCATACACAGTTCGAATCTTGGCATTCCAATGCTGATGGAAATCCTGCAGAATGTCACTTGCAACAGGTCACTCATCCTGCCAGTGAGGACTTGGTCAGGGCTCTTTAAAACTGCCCAAAAGTAAGCTGTATAAAGCTTCCTTTCCTAGTAAATTATATTGTAATCACTCAAATAAAAAATCCATTATCTGCTCATTTTTATGTTCAAACATTAGGGTGAAATCACAAAGCTGTTTTAGAAAAGGGACTTATTCTCAAACTTACTGGTCTCAGCTAAAAATGTATGTACCTGTCATTTTTTAAAGAGATGGGTTGGTGTCTATGAGCTTTTGTTTGCTTTAAACCTGTTTTGCATACCTATACAAGTCTATGTGAATGCAAACCCACCCCATGAAGAAGGTCAAATACAGGTCAGAACAAAGTAACGCACTTGTCAATGAATTCTGA